AGTAATTTTTGTTTTGTATTTTTTGGAAATAATAAGGCTACCACTATGGAAATTAATGGGTATGTCCTTTACCGATGGATACTTCTCTATTCTAAACAATCTATTTCTTATTAGCAAAGGAGCTTTCGATATCACATGAAAATATTAGCTTGTTTAAAACTCAGAATTGACAGATAAAATTAGAAATTCTATGGAAGATCTAATTTTTGTGAACATCTTAGATTTTTACTTTTTTGGCAGAATATGCTGCTACAGAGAGATGTTTGGCCATGTGACTATTGAAAGGCACAGGGAACAATCAGAAGAGAGTCTCCCGAGATGGTGCTAAAACACCACATGGAGCCTAACAAAGACAACAAAGGCTCTAAACTCCTGCTCTTCCCACGCGCGTGAAACTTAAACTTCTACACAAATATTATCTCCCTATAGGAATACTACCTCATAGCTCCCTCCAATAAAGACCCTAAGATGGCACTGGCCAGCACCGCCAGGCTCTGATAGAGCACTGCCACCCCCTCCCAAACTGATAAATACTGACCTCTCTCGCCCTCGCTTTCTCACTCCCACTTCCCTACCAGGTAGTTACAGACCTTCTTCCCTCTCTCTGTAGCCGCTGCTCTAATAAATCTCTTAGCCTCAAAGGGTGTTGAGTCTCACTGGCGCCATCCTCCTTCAATGGTAATGTTGTTAGGCTTTATAATGTTTTAAGCAGTTTAAGACAATTCACTACCTTTGTGTCTCATTTTCTAATTCTGCAGAATGGAGTCGTTCCAGCTTCAAAGAGGTTTTATGAAGATTTAATGACAATTTATGTAAAAAAAAACCAACAACTACACAGTCATGTCTCCATTTACTATGCGCTAAGAGAACCAGTTATATGTCTAGATACCTACATTTTCCGAACAATTCAGGATTCATAACGTGGCAAGGGGAGAGAATATTTGACTTTGAGACACCAGGTAAAATCCAGGCAGCACGGGCCAATCACGTTCTCTCTGCGAGCATTCTTCCAAACCGTGGGGTTAATCTTAAACTCACTCCCACGAGGTACTCGTAAATTCTCATGTTTTGCTCTCCAGTCCCCTCATAAACTCAGGCCCGTGATTATGATATCCATCTCATCAGTGCTGATTGTTAGGGTACGGATGGACCGGGTGAGGGTGGAGAGGCGAGGCAGGAGGCGCGCAGCACTGCCGGGGCTGGCAAGCCGGAAGTGCGTGCTGGCAACCCAGAGATCCGAGTAGATTGCAAAAGAACTGCAACACACAGAGGTGAGAGAAGAAAAGATTTATTTAATTAAGCCGGGCTCGGTGGCTCAGCCTGTAATTCTGCGCCTTTGGGAGGCTGAGGTGAGTGGATTGCCTGAGCCAGCATGTTCGAGACCCGCCTGGGCAACTTGGCGAGACCTCATCTCTACAATAAATCAAAAATTAGCCTGGCGTGGTAGCGCATGCCTGTAATTCCGGCTACTTGGAAGGCTGAGGTTGAAGGATTGCTGGAGCCCAGCAGGTCGAGGCTGCGGTGGCCGGGAGCGGCCACTGCACTCCAGTCTGGGCGACAGAGTGAGACTCCAACTCAAAAACAAACAAACAAACAAAAAAGTAGATTAGAGAGAGAAAGAGAAGGAAGAAAGAAGATTCACCTCCCCAAGGTGGGGAAGGGGGACCAAAGCCAGGAAGCATGGAGACAGCCTTGGCTCAAAGAGCACATGGCCACACCAGACTTTAGCAAGGCAATGGCCCCTGGTTGCTTGTGGTTGAGTCCTTTTAACCATTCCCCTTGATGGGGGAAGATCATTAAGGTGATTGGGTGGCGGTCTGCATCCACATCATCACAAAGGGGCAGACAAGCCCAGGTACTGATGATGTCAGGTGATGGACAGCAGGCAGATGGGTGGGTTAGTCACATGATTGCTGCCATGGTGGGGCTTATCTGTGTCACGTAGTTCACAGAGAGCTGATTAGGTTAACCTGAGGGGGATTTCCAGCAAAAGACTTGTTAGACATTTGCAATTCACAAATTCCTTAACCAAAGGTGGGATGGTCTTTTAGGCTGTCCTGATCTTGTATCTGAAGGAGATTTGCCTAGAGGGGATGGGATAGGCTGCTGTTTGTCCTGCAGTAGAATGTCTGAATGCTTGCTAATCGTTACACTGAGGCAAAAAGACTAAGAATAAGCTAAGTTTCTTCTAGGTTTCTATAGATACCTTTCACTGATTAAAAATTAAACAAGAGCCCAATGCTAGAATCAGCACACGGGGCCTTCATAACACGCTGGTATACGGATGTAAAAGGAACGCAAGGAAAGAAGTGAACTTGGACGCGTCCAGGGCGGAGTCCCTCACCTGACAGGAGAACCTCCCGCGAACCGGAGTAACCGGCTTCCAGCCTGGACGGCCGCAGGGCGGAAGCGGCGGGAGTGGGCGGGCCCGCTTCACTTTCCGGGAGGAGACCGCGTTGCCTGCCAGCTCTCACGGAGGCAGACGACGCTCTAGCCGAGCGCCTGCGCGCTGGGAGGGGGGGCGGGGGCGGTTCACAGTCCACTTCCGGGGACGAGGGCACCGCCGAACGCGTAGGCGATCGGACCGGGTTCAGTTTCCGGTGCGGCGAACGCGGAAGTCCGAAAGCCGAGGCTTTCTTCGGTGGCGGGCTTGCGGCTCGGCGGCAGGAGCGAGATGGAGGTGGGCGCGGCGGCTGGAAGTGGTCCCGACGGACTCCGGGAGCGGCGAGGCGTGAGCGAGGCTGGGAGGCAGCAGCAGAACCTCGACGTGCGGCCTCGGTCCGGAGCAAACGGGCTTCCGAAACATTCCTACTGGTTGGATCTCTGGCTCTTCATCCTTTTCGACGTGGTGTTTTTTTTCTTTGTATACTTTTTGCCATAGTGAGTATCCTGAATGCGGAGTTCGGGATGGTTAAGGTGTTTAGAGGTCATTTACTCCGTTTTTGGGGGGGAGGGAACGGGGGCTGAATTCCAGAGAGTTTTTGTCTGTCCCATATTACACGGCCGGTGAATGGCGGAGCCGGGTGGGTTGGGGAAGGGACTAGCTTGAAAATGTTCTTTCTTGGCACCTCAGTGGGACTCTACAAAGAAAGAGCTGTGGGGGGAAATTGGCGTCATATTTTCTGTGATTTGGAATGAAACCAGCTGATAGTGAGTTCCTGCACCACCCCGAAGAAACTGGAGAAGTTATTTAGCTTTTTGGACCTTTTTTTCATCTACCATTTGGTACCAGTAGTAACTAGTTCATAGGTGTAGTGAAGATTGAGGTAGTAGTAATTTATGTAAAAGCGATCTGCCTGTTGCCTAACTCTAGTTAAATGCTCCACTGAAGCAACTGTTATTATTTAGCTGATTGACTATGAACAGACCACTCAGGTATCTAAAACTTAACATGTCCAGAACTGAACTCAACAGCTTCTTATCCAAGTGTACTTATCTTTTGCTGTTCCCATTTTAGTAAATGTCAGCTTCTTCCACCTAGCTACCTCCCAGAAACTTGGGACACTTCAGCTGCTCCCTTTTTTTTTTTTTTACACACACCCACACATCCTAAAACACCGACTGTTAGGTCTCAAAATGCTGTCGATTTCACTTGCAAAAATCCATGCGCCGCCCCATGGCAAATTGGAAAGGTTAAATGGGGAGGATGGTGAAAGGGGTGAGTGTTTTGTTTTTTTATAAAATTGTCTGACAAGTCATTTGTAAAGGGAGAGCTTCCACTGTCCCCTTCTTTTTTGGTAAAGACACATACCTCAAGCCCAGTGATTAAAAAATGACTTGAATTTTTTAGCTTCAGATTGAAAATGGAAGCCTTACAATGAAGAGTCCAGACCTTTTTTTTTCTTTTATCAATATGTAAGCCTTCTAGAAAGACAAGTGACTACAACAATCAAGATTTTTCAGAAGTTGGTATAAAGTGTTAAAGTGGGAAGATAAAGGAATATTACTGACAAATATTTGTTTTTTACAGGCTGGTTTGCTGGTATCTAAAGAAGTTGGCTTGGGAGTGAATTCTGGAAATGACTAACTTCTTGAATAAAGAAAACAGATATGATTGTGCAGCAGCAGAATTTCTGATCTCTAAGGGACCTTACTTTCATTTTTTACTTTGTTACTTGGAGAATACTATTAAATGAATAGGATTTTACTCATTCATAACTAGGTTCTTAAAACTTCGGTTCATGATTTAAAAGTTTTTTTTCAAACATCTCATGGCTTTACAGGGGCTGAATAGAAAAGTGATTGTACTTAAAGGTTGTGTGTATTCATTAAGAAATATAATGATGTCTTTAACATTTTAAAGGTTGATCAGTGTTTAATATCATGCAGATAATATGGTGAATAATGTGAGGTATTTACAAATTCAAAATAAATTACTCAGAAGCCAGGAAAGGATTTTGAGAGAATGAACAAAACACTCTTAGACTGTATAGCAGCTAGAACACAAAAGATATACAGAAAATGTAGGCCCACGATGTATTCATTGGCTTAAAGTACCAGTTTAATTTTTAGACTAAGTGGGACTGTTAGGAAAAGATTGTGATGGTTGACAGATTGATGCAGTCTTAGAAATAGTAAATAATATCCATGTCCTCTTATCTAGACATCTACCCCTTTCTTCCTTTTAGGATCAAGTCTCCTAAAATTAAAAATTGTGTTTAAAACCTATTTTTTATTACTGTGGCATTAAGTATGCTTGTGACCAAGATAATGTCTGTAACTTAACTTAAATACTTAGCAAAGTCAGTGTGATATTTACTTATTCAACAGATATTTGAGCCTTCACTATTGGCCAGGCATTATTAGACACAGACAAAAATTCTTGCCTTCATGGAGCTTATATTCTCATTTATGGTTATTTAAATCTAAGTATATTCTTTAACAATTTACATTCTAGTGATCAGCTAGTATTTAATCAGAAAGGCCACACTCCCAACGCAGCTACTATAAGCACTTCAGCAGCTATTCCTGTTAGACCTAAAGACTTAAGTATGAAGAATGTTAGAAATGGGCTCTTGTTGAAATTAGTGGCATTCAATGTATGTGAACCGTCTTTTGGTGATATTCCCATCCCTTATAAACAGGGCCATAAGATCTGGTAAACTCTATATCCTTTACCTTTAGGGATGGCTCTTAGAGTTAGTGAAGTCTGAAATTGATTTGGGAGGATTTTAATTGCCCATTGCTGACTAAAAAGTTAACAATTATGCCTTCAGGATACTGTTACAAAACCCAAATAGAACCTTTGTAGAAGGTGTGGTTGAAGCATCTAGAAGAACAAAGAACTGGGATTTCACAGTTTACCAAATAAGATTGTATGAACTATTTTGCACTGCTTGCTAATAACTTTGTCTAATAAATGTTTACTTATATTGCTGAATTTGGATTTATTATAACATTACCTGGTGGTGAGCTTGTGAGGAAATGAACACTTCTCAGAGTTTACTGCTAGGTCACACACAGTCTGCTAATCATAATCTTTTTTGAACCTTAAATTTAGCCTACTACCACAACTATCAGATAGTCTGAAAATTTCTAGTGTAGCGAAGATGGAGAGCTCTATTAGTGTGATGGTCAATTTTATGTGTCAACTCTTGGCCTACGGGATGCCCAATTTCAGGGTGTGCCCATGAGGATGTTTCTGGAAGAGATTAGCATTTAAATCAGTAAAAAAACAGCTGCCCACTCCAAGGTAGGTAGACATCATCCAATCTTTGAGGAATGGATGAAATAAAGTGGCAGAGGAACAGCAAATTCTCTCCTTTCTGCTTGAGCTGGGACATCTATCTAATGTCCTTGGACACTGGCACTCCTGGTTCTCAGGCCTTCAAACTTGGACCAGGGTAGCTGGTTCTCAGGCCACTGTGCTTGAACTGGAACTATACCACTGGCTTTCCTGGCCCTACTGTTTGGTGACAGCAGATCGTGGGACTTCTTAGCCTCCATAATCATGTGAGCCAGTCCCTCATAATACATTTACTTCTGTATATCTACATATATCCTGTTCTGTTTCTCTAGAGAACCCTCGCTAATAGAATTAGGACATAATTGTAATACAAAAATGGTGGCAGTATTAAGGTTGAATCTTTCCTTCAGATAAGAAACTGCACCTACCATTGAACTGTGCCATTTCAAGTACAGTGACTGTTTACATTGCCCACACTTTGAAGACTTAAGTGCATAAATGGAACACCAAGAAAAGTTGCAAATGCACTACAACAAAAACAAAGACATCAGAATAGCAGTATCAGTGTGATTTTAATCTGATAAATTCTTTCATAAATTTCACACAATTTCATATAAGTGAAATGATTGTTTTAGTAGTTCATTTGAAATAAATTGGCTCATTAGCAATTAGAACAGTGTCTTAGGGTCTGTTAACCTGAACATTTTATAGATGTAAAGATCTCCAAATACTTAGTTCCTGTGTCATGGGAGTACTTTTGGAGACAATAGGGTATTTAAGGTCAGTGAGGACATTTAATGTAAATTATGCTCTAGAACAAGGTCATCAAAGCCCAAATCTAGCTCCATGCCTGTTTTTATAAGGAAAGCCTGGAAACTAGGGACAGTTTTTACATTTTAAAATTATTGAAAAAAATTTAAAAGGCTTCAATGATATGTGAAAGCTATATGCAATCCAGACTTCAATGTAGACAGTTTTTGAAAACAGCCTTGCCTATTCATTTACATATTGATGATTCCTTTTCACACTACAAAGGCAGAGTTGAGTAGCTGTTACAGAGACATTAAGGTCCACAAAGCTTGGGTTATTTACTATGTGGCTCTTTGGAAAGTTTGCCAACTCCTTTTCTAGGAGCTGTGCTTTAGACTTTGCTGGAGTTTAACTCTTAGGAGCCTCCTATGACATAACATTTTATGATCAGTGAAATTCCAAGTACCCCTGACTTATAATTCCCATTAAATACATAATCCACATGGGAGGAGGAAGACACACAATTCATGAATGAAAATAAAAGTTCTTAAAAAATTTTTTTTGAACCAGAATAAATTGATTTTACATGAAAATAAAACATTCTGAAGATAAATATTTTAAACATTACAATTGTTGGTTGCATTATTTAAAAGTTGTAATACACTTACAACCAGATGAAAACACCTATAAAAATAAATAGGCACCTTAGAAGTCAAAATTTTACATGTGAATGATTATTTGGTAAATATGTATTCAATTTGTATTTGGAGTATTCAATCAACATAAAAATAAATGGTCAGTTTCTAGTTTGTTCAGTGCTACATGATTCAAGAGGATTCAATGGACAGTACTTTAAAAGAGGCAGAATTGGTCATTTCTATTCGATATATGCAACTCAATAGAGTTGAAAAGACAAATCTATTAAACTGCTGTTAAACACAGAAATCAGTTTAAATGTTTGAAATAAAACATATCTAACTGGACATCTTAACCAAACAGAAATATATATAGATATAGATATATAAAACTACACAGAAAGTTTTTAAAGCTATTAAAATATTTGAAGCCTATTTCTAGTACTTTACAATGTTACAAAGCAGCAATGAAAAACATTGACATGTCAAATGCATTGTACACATTTTACATTATTTACAATCCCTCCATACTAGAAATGCTGTTAAAAGTAAGCTTTCTTAAAAGATAAAATTTAATTTAGTATGGTATTCAAGTATTTCTAACTTACAAGAATATGAAGTGATAATCGCCTATCATAGTAGTTAGAAAAGACTAGTAAAAAGTTCTCTATAGGTGGAAAAGAAAATGTGACCAAGATTTGGTAACTGGGTGAGGTTAGACTTTTACAAACAATTATTTTCTATTTATTTAAAAGTATTCATATTTCATCATTTACATTTTAGATAATGCAATTTATGGAATCAGCCAAGATAATAAACTTACTAATTAGTTTATTGAAATGTCAAATTTATAAAATTTATTCATTTAGTAATGTAAAGAAAACTTTAATTCTATGATTCTCTGAAGTGGACATTATAAAACTATTATCAACTACAATTAGTTTACCAGCTTAGTACAAAATAAAACAACTGATGAAATAAGGCAATTAAAGTAACTTATTTTCTCGTAAGGTCACCATAGTAATGAAAATCCCTTTAATTTTTAAACAAAGTCCTCTCCATGTAAGTAGTTGGGATAAAATAACTATTTGTTTAGAGTAGAAGAAAATGGGAGGGATGCTCAAATTAAGTAAACATTTCATTAAAATTAAACCCTCTATAAGAAAGGCAAAAACTTAATCTGGAAACATAGATTTTCAGATTCTAGAATCAGTTAAATGGGTGACAACCTATAAACAGTTAAGACTATTATATCAAAGAAAATTTAGGCAATTACAGTGACATTCCAGTAAATGGAATAGCCCTAGGTTAATTCCTAACACTGGTTAGTAGCCCAAAGTAAACCAAACCAAAACAAGAATCTTTCACATTTCATAAAAAATTAGAAAAGAAGTAAAAAATAAATATACTAAAGTTTAAGTATTTTAACTTTTTAGCTTACATGGCTGAAGTAATACTTATGAATCATATAGTAGTCAAGGCCTAATTTATGTTAACTAGATAGATATTCTGAAGATAAAATTTCTAGGAGCAAAATTAAGTTCCATCAGACCTTGAAATTTTAATTTTACAATAGTTAATCATTAAGGCATCTTTTTTCAAATGCTACCAAATTTATGGGTCAGTTTTTTTTTTTTTAAGACACTTAAAGGAACTCATATGTAGTAGACTATCACAGAAGTCAAAAACAAATGGGTGACACCCTCTTTTGGTTACCCATTAGAAAGTGCTTCTTCATAAAACAAATACTTACTTGACTAGGCAAATTATGTATCACCTGTTATTTTTCAATTTTCAGCATAGTTTACATACATGAGTACCAGTTAGTTTAATACTTATGGGTTTACTAGGCACACAATAAACAAATTTAATTTTTATTCAACTGTAGCATATGGCAAATTAATTGTTATATACCCCAATTTTCTATTTTTCAAGGCATGCTAAGACTATTCAAAGGGAATTTCTAAAATATCCAGTAAGTTGATCATCATAAAATAAAATTTTACACATGTACTTATATACATTTAGTGATTAATGGCTTTAAAAATGCCATGGGTTTTAATTTTATATATCACCATGTTTGTTCAGTAGGTTTCTATTAACATCTAAATGGCCTCAAGAGAAGTATAAGTTTGCCGATTTCAGCATTATCTATTACAATGTATGCTAGGTTTGTATCTTTGTTCAGAGGGACAGCTTGAGCCAAGACTATTATGTAACACAGGTCCCAACCCTCTTTCACTTACAGATAGTGAATTATCACTACAAAAGCCACTGCTCTCTGGGAAACACAGCTTGGGCCTCTGATGGTATTTCAGTCTATATGTATCAGTCATGCAGCTATCAACTGAAAAGTAGGTAGTTAATGCAATTGTTTCATTTGGAAAGGTAACACTGGAGTCTAGTTCTGGTTGGCAAAATGCATCAACAACTGCACCTGAGTTTGCCTGAAAATCATTAACCGAAGAGCTGGACGGGTAGTCTGGTGTGTTGCCAACATGTTCTTTCTCTTGAAATGTTTCTTTATGTTTTTCATCATTATGTGTACTCACTTCTAAACTGGGTTCTGAAGCTATACTTAAGCTGTGCTTAGGAAGACTAGAAGTAGCTTTAAACATTTCATTAAGTCTGACATCAAGTGTAGATTCATTTTTCTCTGACTGTGGCACACTGGTTATAGCATATTTCTTTGGTGGTAAAGGGGGTGGTAGACTCTGGCAAAATAGTTTTGGCATTTGACAACCATCAGATCTGCAGGTTGACTGAATTATATGTTCCCTGGGTAGAGAGTTCTCAGAGTAACACTGTTCCATATTTTGCTGCTGAATGAGGGGAACAGGCTCTGGCTTTAATCCAACAGTTCTCATGTGTGAAGACCACAATGAAGATGGTAAGACTTCTTCATTACTGTCCATTCTATTCCTAGAAGCAGAGTTATCATTACTGTGAGAAGGCAAACCTGTTCTCTCAGAATTTTCTATATTAAGCCACTCAGGAAATTTGCATTCATTTGGTTTTTCAAGTTTCTGTTCATCTGACTGGTGAATATGCTCTCTTGCAGTATGGTCCTTGAGTTTTTGTGGACTGGATGAAGAAAATAACTTTCCATTGGTTTCACGCATATGTGACCTGAAATATGAAAATAAAAAAGATAAAACACCACATGCAAATATGTGAAATTGGGGAAAAGTAAACATTTGTCATGTAGTGTGATTTTCCCAATATATAGTTTGTACTATTTTTATAACATAATAACAGAAATGGGAAGATATTTACAACCATTAACATTTTCAGCTCTCTCTGAATCCAAAATCTTTATTCCACAATAGTAAATGCTTACCAGAAACACCCATTACCAAACTATTTCTAATAGTTAGAAATGTAGTTTAAAAACTAATTTTAACTTACAAATACTGAAATTATTTATTTGTGATCAAACACATCATAAAACTTGACAAAAATGTTAGTCAAACGATACCGTAGAACACCTCCCTATAATCATTCCAAAGTTTTAAAAAAATAGAAGTAGATGTATTTAAATTCTGACACGTAATGCTATAAGGACAGTATAATAATTTGTTATTTTATTTTGAGATGGGGTCTTGCTACATTGCCCAGGCTGGCCTCAAACTCCTAACCTCAAGTTATAGTCCTGCCTCAGCCTCCCAAGTGGCTCCTAAGTAGGGACTACAGGCATGTACCATTTATTTACTTGTTTATTAATTTAAAATAATTTAGTTAATCAAGATTAGCTTGAGTTACTAATTCTCTTCCAAGGTAAAGATAAATTGCATCACATTGCCAACTATTTTTCTCGTATGAATTACATGAAATTGAATTAGAATGGAATAGTTAAAAAAGAGTTGAGACTCTGCAAGGCCTATAATCAAATCTCAGCTCCACAGCTTTAGGCATATTACTTATTTTATGCCTCATATTTTCTCTTTTATAAAATACCACCTGCCTCATAAGAATGCTGTAAGGGTTAAAACAGATAGTCAGGTGTTGTACCTGCCATTCTGTAGGTCCTCTATCCTTTTGTAGGCCCACTATCCTTAGGTCCACATTCTATTAATGATTTCCAATAAGACAGGCATCATAATACTTTCAGAGTAATAATATGCATTTATGCCCTTCTGATAAAGAGTGCCGATAATAACGTGTTTAGAAAAAAAGGTTTTTTATTTCCAAATATCTTTGATTACCTTTTTATCAAAGGATTTTTTATTTGTAGATGTGATTCTGGGTGTATTTCATGAGATTTATAGCCTGCTTCCAAGTTCTTGAGTTCTTTTTTGGTACCTGGGATGGGAAGTGGGAAGGAGAGGGAAAGAAAACAAAATTATTTAGATGATCTTATAGAATTTATTCCATTTATATTTTTCTATATTTACATAAAGTTGTCTATAAACATAATTCTCTTCAAATTACCAAAAGAAAAAAATTCTTCAAGATTCAACTAAAAATAACAGCTTTTTTTAATGCTTTATGCAAAATTAATGTTTCTTCAGTTTATCATCACTTGAGGGTATCAACAATGCTGAAATAGTGCTGGTGGGTCATGTGGAACTACATATGTGTTCCCTTGTTACATGAAATGTGATCTTTACTGACAAAGTGTCATTATGAAAAATTCCAACATTTGAAGATAGATGTTTGGGTTGAAGTTTGGACTCACTAATTGTAGATTAGTAAGCAAGCCTCTTAACCCTACATAATCTGCTTCCTCATTTATGTAATGGGATGATAATCCATTTTACTAGGAACTTCAATGAAATTAAAATGGGTAGCAAATTCTAATGATGGCATGTAAAATATTATACCACACTTATTAGCTATCACATTGCTTACTCAAGTTATAAAAAGTTGGTATCATTTCATTCAATCTTTACAACCTTCTCAAGAAATTACTGCCATCTCAACTTTACAGATGAGAAAACAGTGACTTGGAAAGGTTAAGTAAGTAATCCAAGGTTATATAGTTAGCAATTGCAGAACTAGGTCTGTATAATTCAAAAGTCCATGTTCCTAAGCCATGATGTCATATTGCCTCCTTATAATTGTTACTTATTTATGTTCTGACATACAACAAACACCAAATCATTTTTAAATTTAACTTTAAATAAATCTTATAAAACATTATACTAATTTATGATGTGACTCTTGTTACTTCTAAGGCTGGTACATGGTAAGATTTCAAATTTTTAGATTCAACGTTAATCATCCTCTCTCTGTCTCTCTCTTCTTTTTTTTTTTTTACCATAGCTAGCTAGGATTGCAGTCAAAAGCCAAATATGGTGCCACATAAAAACAGATCTATTTCTATTTTCCTCTGAACAATTATTCTGGGAAAGTTCATTGGAGAGCCCTTAACAATGTTAATGTTTAGAGTAAAACATTATTTACAGTTAGAGTTCTCTCTATTAACAATTACCTTAGCTAAAACAGCTCTAATAAAAATGGTTATTGCCCTCTAATCTTTGATGATCTAGATGAAATCAATTTCAGGACTATAGATAAAGTAGGCCCAAAGGAACAAACAGAGCCCTGAAAGCTAAAAATTATTTTACAGGGTAAAGATGAAGAAAAGGGAACTAGGACATTTGAATTAATATAGGAGTTTACCTATGACGATCCCAGTTTTTGACACCCCCTATGGAAGAGCAAGTGCCTTATATCTGAGAGCCTGACAGTCTCCAGGGAGCTGTTTCCCTTGCTAAACACAAGGGGCCTGAGGTGCCAGTAGAAAAATCACAAGCACTGAGGTATAGACAAGGCACAGAAGCATCTTTGGAATTCTGTTAATTACTTTGCAAACACCATATCACCCACTTATCTTAGAAATGAAAATGAGAAAACTATAAAGTTATTTTAGTCCTATGTCCCCACAATAGCAATAGCTACAATTTATGGAATGCCCAATGTATGCCAAGTCTTATATTATTTTGGTTCAGAAGTTCTCAAAGTGTGGCCACAAGACCTGAGGAGGTCTCCAATACCCTTTCAGAGGATCTATGAAGTGAAACTATTTTCATAATAATATTAAAATGTTATTTTTCTTTTTGACTGTGTTGACATTTGCACCAATGACGTAAAAATAACAAAGGATAAAATTGCTAGCATAATTCAAGGCAGTGACACCAAGTTGCACTAGTAGTAACTATATATTTCATTGCCATACACTTGTGTTTTTTTTTTTACTCCAGCTTCACTAAAGAATGCATGATAAGGGGGGGGCACACCTCATCAATAAGGGTACTTGCACAATGAACACTTGTATACCTAACCCTGAATTGTACCCCACAATTTCAACATAAAAATTTAAAAAAAGAATGCATGATAAAGCAGTAAAAATTATTTATTTTATTATTTTACTGAACTTAGTACAAATCTTTTTGTTATTCTTTATCATTCTGTGTGAGGAAATGGGAAGTATGCGTAAATCACTTTTGCAGCATACCAGATATGACAATTGCTTCAAGAAAAAACATTTACAGGATTGTTTGAGTTGTCAGCTGAATTTAGCTGGTTTTATCATGGAACATTATCTTTACCTGAAAAGATGACAGGTAAACTTTAGTTATTTAGACTTGGATATTGGCAAAAATTTTCTTGAAAATAAAAGAAGTAAACCTGTTACTTCATGTAAAACAACTGACTATATTTATCGCTAATGATAAAATTCAAGCTTTTAAATGAAAGAATTTTGGAAAACTTGCATCCACCACTATGAATTTTGTAACTTCCCAATATTTATATTTATCCCAAGTGCAAGATGGACTAATGTATTTTAATGTAACAGGATAAAAAGTGACTACTATGGTTCTGGATTTCACATTGCAATTAACCTGGAAGAAACTAGCACTTGGTGTTGATATAGTATAAAAGAAGCATATCCACAGATTCTATGAAAGGTTATTAAAATACTATCACTTCCAACTATGTTACCTGTGTGGGACTGAATTTTCTTCATATATGAAAACATTACAGTCAGAATGAAAAAACAAGCATAAGAATCTAACCATCTTCTACAAAGCCAGGCATTGAGATTTGAAAACTGTTAAACTATGCCATTCATCTATCTTTTAGTTAGGAAAAATATTTATTTTTCATTAAAAAATGTTATTTATGTTAACATGTAATGGGTCTATATTATTCTTTAAATGAATGACTATTTTTAGATTTTCAATTTTAATGCCTAATGCAGCAAATATGGATTGGCACAACCTAAACAAAAGCTCTTTGAAGATATTAATCCTTTAAGAGTATAAAGATATTCTGAGGTTAAAAAGTTCAAAAGCTGCCATTCTAGTTGATAACAGTTGTCTTTTCAAACCTCAGTCACAACTATTCTGTGAAACAATTCTTTTCACACTAAAGGAAACTGAGGCTCAGGGAAGTTAAGTGACCTAACCAATACAAGACAGCTGGCAAGTAGTAGCATTCATACCAACACAGGGTTAACACCGAAGAAGTACTCTGCAGTATTCGCAACTCTCTTTTGCATATGCCATTACATTAAATCTCCTTCTGATGAAACTAGGCTATTCATTTTAACATGATATGCTTTAACATGCTGATACCCACAGAAGAAGCCAAAATGTATGACATTAGTATGAACTGTCAATTGCCTACAGTTCTGTAACATTTCTAGTAAGTTTTTCTGCAGTCTCCCATATTTTTAGCTGACGGTTTCAGCATGTTCATTTATCTCAGTTTCCTTTTATTCTCCTGATTCTACTTTATTGTACAGCAAATCTATAAAATGAAGACTGCAAAGAAAACAAAATAAAAGTGGTGACTTTATTTTTTAATAGTACCTAAATTGGTTTTCTGGGTACATTTTTAAAAACCATCCTGTCACTCAAAATTCAAGTGGAATCTATAATTATCAATATATATAAATATTACCCTATAAAAATCGATATTTGATTATGATTAGGTTCTGGAAATTAAATCTTAAGCAAGCCTCAAGTAAGAGTTATATAATATGCATGAAAATTTAATACTCTATATACCATATTGCTCACAGAGTAAATAATACAAATTTAAGATGGTAGAATGGGTAGTCTACAAGTCTGACATTAATTTGTTTAAGTTTTAACACTCTTGTTTCCACTGAATTGCTATAAGCATTCTGATTGTATGATATGTACCTTTAAAAAACTGTTTCCCCAGGGACTAGCACAGTATCTAGCACATAGAAGACATTCAAATAAAAGTCTACAGAATGAATGAACAATTGCATGAAAAACATACTGTTTTTCTTCTTTTAAATCATCCCCACACTGCCTATCACATTTCCCAATTCATTGATCCAGGACCAGAAAAGCATGTATTGAGACAAAGTTGCTTATCTTTCCCTCCCACCTATCTCAAGTCTACAGGGGTCAACTAAGAAAACCTTAATTTAAAAGGCAGTAAAATTTATCCCAGAGAAAGTCTCTCCAGAAGGAATATATTATTGTACATATATCAGAAAATAGTTACGGGTAAGCCTGATATATTGCCTGAGGCTCAAAAACTTTGCCACTCTTTTCAACAGCTATTTTATGATTTAAAAAAGTGTAAAGTGTAATAAGACCATAAAGAACCTCAATAATGTTTACAGCTTGCAAAATTTTTAAGTTAAAATTATAATTGTTCCACCCACTGTGATTTTTAACTTCAGAATGTTTACTTTATTTCTTTGCTCATCCATAATTTCAAGTTTAATATTCACAAACAAGAACAAAAAAGTAAATTCTTAAAAAAAAATTATTTGCTTTTATTAAAGTATCCATGTAATGGGCAGCAGGAGGCAGCAGAGGTTTTATAAACATGCTTGAAATTGTAATATCACAGTGGCAAGCATTCAACCAAGTGGTTTGACTTCAGAATTCCAACTAACTTAAAAATAGATGTGCTATTTTTCTCTTCTGCTGACATAGCCATCCCTGTGTCTTTATGGGGAATTGTGGCTCCAGGTTATTTGCAAATCTAAGAGTCTGATTTTAACACCTGGCACAGAAAAAAAACCTCAAGGCAAGAAGCTTTAATAATGCTAATTTTTATACTGTATCCAAAAAACCCCAAAGCACATTATTCAAGAAATAAAACTATATATTTTGTGTGAAAAAATGACTTAGGTTTAAAACAGACATAGCAATAAAACCAAAGTGCTAGTCTAGACAATGTAATCTTCACTCTCATATAGTGAGATTTCAGAATATAATGGTAATACTACAATCACAAACCCCAAAACATGCAAAAACAATAATCAGTGACCTAAATTACAATAAAAGTACATTTGAATAAAACTTGAATGCTTCTGAAAAATCATAAAACTTTAACTAGATAAACATTTCTCACTAAATGTACCATAGACTAAAGGAATAGAGAGATACTTTAAAATATAATACTACCTTATACCTAAATTTCATGATTTTTACAAAGTAAAAAGGCAGAAAGTATGTCTTCTCTCATTGAGATTATAATTTAAAGGAAAGGCAAATATTGTTATTTTGCTACAAACTAAATTTTAACCTGGAAAGTTTGTAGTTTTAAAAAAATACAAAGATTGCCATTTTGGTCGTGCTGGGTGGGTCACAAGAATAAATTATGTGCTGTTACCAGTCTACGAAATTTTTAGAGAAAAAAATTTAATGTGCATAGAAAAAAACAACTGACTGATGAAAGTACCTCTTTCTCTAAATACACTTTCTAATGTATTGTACATTTTTAATGAACAAACACTGCAGTTTGTCAAATACATCTTGGAGAAAATTATCAAATTTACATACATGTACAAACTCTTTCAATAAGATTTTTCATTTACTAATGCTAGGATTTAACAACACTAAAGGCAGTATATTTCACTTAAGAAAGTGGAGGTACAATTTGTATAATAAGAAATACAGGAACTAATAGATTTTTTTTTTTTTTTTTTTTTTTTACCACTGATTAACTTTTTTCACTCTAGTTAATCCACAATCAGGACTCAGTATGAACTGACTCTGACTTCTACAACCAACTGAGATTAGGTAAAGTATTGCAGACTCCAAAAAGCGAATGGCAAAACTTCTTGAAAGAACTAATAATTCCTTTGCAATTTGTTATGTATGACCTGTTTGTATTTTAACCAATCTGTTTATCTCAGTAATAACCTTACCTCATAGAGAAAAGGAAGCCCATTAATTATAAACTACTTCAGCACCTAACACAGATACACACTAATCAATACCTGCACTGATTTTCTCTCTCCCATCAAAGAAAAGCTGTCATTTCTCTAGTTCAAATCCTGTCTATCTCAAGGGGCTTATTCCATCAATTATTATTCTATTGTTTTCTTCACACCATTCTCTCCCTTTATACATCATTAGTTCCTTATCTTCTGCAAAACAAATGCCAAGCATGTCCATTTATAAAAACAATACAAAGCCAAAACTAAGCACTTAGTTTCCTTTTCTTGAAATAATTAGTATGGCAGTTCCAAAAAATAATTACAGTAGACTCCAGCAATTGCACTTTTGTGTAAACACTCAAAAGAAGTGAAAGCAGGGACTCAAACAGGTACTTGTATACCAACGTTCGTATTAGCATTATTCACAATAGCTAAATGGTAGTATAACCCAAATGAATGGAGAAACAAAATGTAGTATATAATGGAATATTATTAAGTTTTAAAAAGGAATGGAGTTCTGATATGTGCTACAACATGGATGAACCTTGCAGTCATTATGCTAAGTGAAATAATTCAGACACAAAAGTACAAATATTGTATGATTCCACCTACATGAGGTAACTAGAATGGTTAAATTCAGAGAAAGAAAGTAAAATGCTGACTGCCAGGGCTTGGAGGAAGGGGAGAATGGGGAGTTGTTTAATGGGTAAGAAACTTCAATTTAAGGAGATAAAAGAGTTCTGGAGATGGATCGTAGTGACGGGTGCACAACAATGTGAATGTACTAAAGCTACTATACTGTACACTTAAAAATAATTAGGATGGTACATTTTGTTGTGTATATTTTATCACAATAAAAAAGTGTATTACATACACACTCTTTCATATTAAATGGGAAAACCCACCATAAAGCTCTTATAGGCACTCTTGACCATCAAAATCTTTATGACCTTGTGTTTTTATAACTATCAGGAAGCAAGCATCATTTTGTAAAGAGTACTGAACTTGCAGTTATTGTTCAATTTCACTGACTTTTGCTGTGATTTCTGGCCAACTCTTTACTGTTTCCTGTAATACTTGCTTACCAGACTTTTATCAGATTTTATCAGGCGAGACATTCTAATATGGGAAAGGAAAGTTATTTCCTTAATATAAGTGTTTCCTTCTGATATTATACTATTTGATGAAAACAAAATAATTTAACATTTAATCACATTCAATGTCTGGAACCTGAAACATAATCTCCACGAAAGCCTTAAGTATGATAAAGGCTAAAAAAACTTTAAAGTTTGCTGTTTATGGCTATTTTTTATTGTGAAAAATTCTATCACTTCTATTCCTCTGAATTCCAAAACTTGATTGCAAATTAATAATCCTTTTGCTCATTAATTTCCTTGACCCCTCTCCCCCAAATCCTTCAGGTATGTACTCCCAATAGCAATCCTAAATCCTGTATACATTCAAACATCTAATGTTATTTGCTTCTGGGCTGCTAACATATTGACTATAATAATCCCACACCATTACATAGTTACTGTTTCCAAATTGAACTTTTCCAGAAGGCTGTTTATCAATCGATTTGTTCTTAACTCCTGTGGTAGTCAGTAGAGCTGTTCACACATACGTCACTTCACTTCCAGGCACCTATAAAATTGAACTTTTTCTACCCTCACTGAAATTAGGCCTGGTTATAAGATTTGCCACCATAGATACAGATTCTCCTGCCTACTTAAGTCCCAAATCATTGTTATAAGAACTAGTATCAAACGCAAAGTGTTCTAGGGTCCCTAATGCAGAAACGTAAAATGCAAGCTGCTACTGGGGAAAAGTTACTCAAAGATTTCATCATCTAAATAGAAAAAGTAAGCAATCTAACACTATTATGTCAAAGACAAATCCAAAAAGCACATTCAAAAAGGCTGCAAACTTCCAAAGCACCATCTACCTAATCAAATAAAAAGTGAGAGACAAAATCAATATCAGCTTTGTGAAGCAAATGTGGAAAAATACAAGGAGCAACCCTCCAAAACCAGAATTATTTTCTAGAGGGTGAGCCCCTTGTTCAGCCTTCCCCTGCTAGGTAAGTGTTCTACGAACCCACCAGCTTCAGTGCACCAGCTACAGTCATTTGAAAGACTGTGTTTGACTTCAGTTAATTTTTTTTGGCAATTATTTTAATGTGTTTGCCCATATCATGATGGGTGATTTATGAGTGCACCTGCCCACACCATACCTCACTGAGTATTCAGCAGTTTTTAACAAAAAACTGCAGGACCCTTATACCCTATCCTTCCTATTGATTCAATCTAGCCCCAAGCAACTTTTTTTTAATTTCCCCAGATGAAAAAAGCCCTCAAAGGGAAATGTTTTGCTAATGTAGAAGAGGTGAAACAAAAATAGCAGAAACACTAAAAGGCATCAAAATTGATGAGTTCAAAAACTTCTAAGCAGTGGAAAAAGTATCTTGATAGGTGTATTATATCAAATGAAGAGTACTTCAAAGGCGACTGAAATTTAAACATGCAAGAATAAACACAGTTTTTTAATAAATTCTGGGTTTTTTAGGTCCCCCTTTGCATTGCATGTGTAAATATATATATAAAAAAGAATGCTGATTAATAATATACTTTATAATATATTATTTTATATATTATATATTTATTATAGTATATGTAAAGAAATTATATACTTATAAGGAATTAATAATATGCTTTATTAAAACATTAATTTAATAAAAAGGACATTTGTTTATTGATATTTTAAAGTTGTTTAACTTTTATAGCTACATAGAATTTTTTTCTTGGGAACATCATAACAGGAAATAATTTACTGCAACTTATTCTTTATAGCAACTATTACAATATATTTAAATTAACTTTTTACCTTCTAAGTGGTTTTTGCTCTGAAGGGAGGTACAGTCCACACGTTCCTTATTTAGGTTGCTTGTCTTAATCTGGTCACTAGAAAATAAAGCACAGACCATCAGTAAGTATGGATTATCTTAGTTTATTCCAAGAAAAAGAAAGAAAACGTTTTCTAAACAATTACTATACACCATGTTCTGTCCTCGGGGTTTAATATACACTACTTAATTTATATCTTACAGCACTTCCAAGTAGTTATTATCCCTATTTTACAATAGGAGATTAAGGCTGTAAAAGCAAACTGATTGGCTCAATAATTAAAGTCCAGGTTTATCTGGTTACAAAGTCCTGATCTTTCTACTACCCTTGGCTACTCCTTTCTAAACAGTGTTATGAATTTACCTTGTTAAATAAAATATGTGCCCGTAAGTCTTTATTGAAACATTTTAATAAAATATGAATAGCTGATTTTTGCAAATCTACTTTTTAATAATAAATGTGGTCAAATACCAGCTAATTTCAAATTAAGAATTTTTAGAAGGATTAAAAACAGAAAAAGTGGCTAAATTAACTTAAGAAATCAGTCACTAAGCTGTGGCATGTTTTAGAGGTTACACAGAGGGTTAGAGAAGTGTGAATGTACTAGTAACAGTAATATAATCAATGCATTTAGAATTAATTAATTAAATACAAACTTAGTTATTTGGCTGAATTCTTTTATATTTGCTAATAGGAAAATATCTTTTCCATGAAACTGGGTTATGATAGCAGAAAACAGTCTCAGGTATGAGTTACAAATGTTAGAGATGCAATTACAAGGATTACATAGATTGAAGAATTAAATGATCAATTTAATGACTGAGCTGAAACCAATTAAAGCATATGCTTTAAAACCTGTATTACACATGGATAGTTGACAATGATGACAACAATGGTATCATATTTCTGTATTTTCCAAATTTGCTAAAAATAAACAGTTGTTATTTTTTTGGAAGGAAATAGCTATTAAAAACAAACCTGAAATATCAAATAAACTGCAACATCCCAGGTTTCCTTACTATAAGGTTCATACTGTTTCCATTATACTTAATTGACCCTAAACTTTGAAAATTACTTCAAATAATTAACAAGAATGGTGGTGGGAGGAATGATTCATTTAACTTGTATGTTACCTGAAGAATACTGCTTCTTTAGCACCATTGTTATCCATTACTGCACCGTTTCCATCAGTAACAGGTGAGTCCAAGTTAGCAGATCCATTACTGATATGATCACTGCTTTCATATCCAGATTCGGTCCTTTGCATTTGCCAATTATCACCATGAACTTTATTCTCTATGAGACTTTTATTTTTGTCTGCTCCTTTTCCACTAGATTCTAGGGAACTTTTGCTTCCTATTTCCTGCTTCATTTCATCTTCATATATGGTCATTAAACCTTTTTGTTTTGTATTCTCTTTTGTCCAATTATTAAAACTCTGGTCTTTGCTACATTTAGGTTTGATACTGATATTTGATTTATGTCTTGGACTATGCTGCCTTTTTTCACTTTCACTAAAAACACTATCAACATTTAATGTTTCTCTCATGGGTTTCCAACCTCGGTTCCGGCTTTTACTGCTATTGTAGCTGCTTCCTTTATCCCTAGAATCTTGGCTGCTGTCTGTATCATATCCAGTGCCACTGTCACTCTTAATTTTGCCAGTTATTTTCTCTCCCAGAGTAAGAATCTGAGATTTACTTGAACTGATTATTTGTGCAGAAGCTCGACTCTGACAAGCAGCTCGGTCATGTTTGCATGGTCCTTTTCCTTGGCTATGATATAGATGTGGATTACTATATTGTCTAAAGCCATTTGGGGCAGAAGGTGATCCAGACTGGAAATGTGAAAGGTCTTCAAGCAAATCTTAAAAAAAAAGAAAGTTAAATGTACAAATGAATTACTGCTCAGAGACACTTTTTAGTCACAATCCAAATACCTTGTTTGAGAAGACATGTTAAGCAGTTTGAAGTAAATAATAAGTAAATTATATCACATACTGCTTTGAGATTAAAGAGTCCCTTTCAGTTCCAACTTACACTTAATGAGAGGCATTTCTAAAAGAAACAAACTTTAAAAAATGATCTCCAAGGTAGATCATAAGATAATTAGTTATTTTTTTAAAAAAGCATTCTACCTCAATCATAATTAACAAAAATTATAAAAATAGAATAGTTTACACTTCTTATATTGGTAAAGATTTAAAAGTCTAAGATTGATTTAACACCAATTGCTGCTGAGCATGTTAAGAGACAGAGATCTAATCACTGTTGGTAGGAGCATGGACTGGATCAGTCTTTCAGGAGAGAAGTTAAGCCATATCTGTTAAAATTTAAAATAAATATACCTTAACCCAGCAATTCATCTGAAAGAATGTTATGCTATGGTTGTACACAAAAACATACAAAGGTATATGTGACAGGATATCACTGCAGCAAAAATCTTCCACCAGTCTTTAAAGTCTATCAGTATTAGTTAAATTATACTACGTCCAGACAGAAACAAAGAATGATAAAAAAGTAAGACACGCTTATAATGAACTGGAAACTGTTAACAGTGAACAGAGGGAAGGTCAAGGATTATCAGGAAAGAAGACTCTTTCACTGAACTTCATAACCTTATTATCTGAATGTGCCACATGAGTGTATTATATCTATAAAGTTAAAACATCAAAACACAAATACAAGTATCCCAGGTTAGAATTAAATAAAAACCAGGACAATTTTGCATTTTTAGTTTTAATATAGGTATATTAAAGAAATCATACTAAGATATATATATAAATATATACAGAAATTAAAGTTATCCAGTTCAACTTTGTAATAAAATTTTTAGCAGCCTCTTTTGAAATGAATGCTATAAACTCTTAACTTACCTCTGTGTCGCCCTGAATCTTTTCTTTGTCCCTTCTCTAAATCTTTCCTTTGTGAAGAAAGTAAGTTTTTCTGTTCAATGGCTTTCAGAGCACATTCTCTGGAAATGTCTTTTATCTTTTCCCTTTGATCAATGTGACTGAACTTAACTGTAAAAGAAATCATTCTTACAATGATGCAGATCATGTTCAAATTGCTCAACAAACGCAAAAACTGAACTACAAAAATGTTAAGCTATTATGTATTAAAAACAACAAAGATTAAAGTATACAATGAGCTCATTTTTATGCTTTTCTAAAAACAATGATTTTTTCTGACACTGGAGATGCATGGTATCTTTTAAAACTTCTCGTATAGCACCTAAAGCAAGTACTAAGGGGAAAAAAAAAAAAACCTACCATTAAAATAATAAGAGCTAAGTCACTATTTGCCAGGTATTTCACTCATTTAATTCTCTGAAGTACAATTGCTATCTTCATTTCAGGGTAAAAACTAAGACAAATTAGAAACTTGCCCAAGTTCGTATAGTTTATAAATACAGAAGTGACAATATAAACCCAATTTGCCTGGTGCCAGTGCTTGGATTGTTAAACACATATACACTGTTTCTGGGCTTAAAAGTAAGTGTCTTTTTTTTTTTTAAGACAGGGACTCGCTCTGTTGCCCAGGCTAGAGTGCAATGGCACATTCATAGCTTACTGCAGCCTCAAACTCGGGCTCAAATGATCCCCTCACCCCAGAATCCTGAGTAGCAAGGACTACATGTGCACACCAGCACACCTGGCAAATTTTTAAATTTTTTTTTTTGTGGAGTCAGGGTCTTGCTATTTGGCCCAGGCTGGCCTCAAACTCCTAGTCTCATGTCATCCTCAGGCCTCGGCCTCCCAATATGCTGGGATTATAGGCATGAGGTAAGGTAAGGCCAATAGGTGTCTTTTGAAAAACATAAAATGTCTTTCCTTAAGATTATCATTGATCCACAATAGAAAAAAAGATATAGCTTCATTAAGAATTTGTAAAAAGCCTTTACTGTAGTTCTTTGCAGATGATAACTGTTAATTTTGGATCTTACTACCCTTGACTAAATGGGTCACTTTTATGGTTATTATGCACTAATATATTTAAAAGTTGCTTACAACACCATCCTGAATATCCACACAATTAAAAGTTTTATGTATTTCTGAAACATAACAGAACTTGGGTTGTGAAAATTAAAGTCACAGGAAGACAATAACAAGAGAGTTGAATAAAAAATGAGGCTAAAAACAAAATATAGCTATAGTAACGTTGAACTACTTTGTATTCACTAATAGTACATTTAATTTTGGCATATATGCCAAATTACTATTTTTTTTCCAGTCTACTTTCTATGGGCAGCACGTATCCCAAATTATTAACTCATATTTTTCTTCTCCAAGTTGATTACTCACTCCTTGAAGGAAAGACCACATCGTAACTTTCTTGGGTAACTGTCCAGATTGCCTCTGGCCTACCACAGTGGTCAGTGATAGGAGAAACTCAGACAACTCGTCCAATCAAATTGGTCAGGTAAAACTATGGCTCTCAGAAAAATGCATAAGACCAAATCAAAAGACCAAATTTTGTTATCCACTTGTCCATTTTTCTCTTCACAGCCAAGGAAAGCTAGTTAAGCACTCTCCAGTAAGTGAAGAATAGAGGATACTTAACTGCTCAGGGTCACTATGAAAATGACAATTTAAACACATACCTGGTCCTCTCCCTCCACTTGTCTGAATGTAGCTCCGATTAATGGATGAAATATCATCAGTTTGAAATTTCTGATTTTCTTTCTGTTTTGCTTGATCACTAAATCCATTTTCTTTTGAATTATCTGGCTTATAAACTGCAGACTTTTCACATCCTTACAAAGATAAACAAAAATGTATCATTCTTTTCCTTCCTATCAGGAAAAGAAATGTTTGGACCATTTTTTCACACATTTTTAACTGTAGACAAAATTATTTAGAGGACTGACATTACTAAAGGGTTTCTACATGCTTTTTAATGCATCCAAAAATGGCCAATCTGCCTTGGACTTTTCCAGTTTACTAAATCACCTAATATTTACTGCTAGAAAGAGCTATCAGTCAAGCAGCCGCTTCTGTGTTTGTGTGATCATAACAGTGGGTGACTCCTGAAGGTACTTTTAAGGCCATTGACAAGAAAGGCTCCTTTCTAAAGATCAACAAAACATACTAAAATTTTCCTGAATACCACTTTATTAAAACAAATTTGAAATTAACTTCTACATTCATTAAATAGTCAATATATTAGTATTCCAAGTTGACTGTGGTAACAGAAAAACATTGAAAGAAAAAGAATTACCCATATTTTCTGCAACGGATTTGTAATGTGACCAGCTGACGACTTGCCTGAGTGCATCCTCAGTTGAAACTGCTGTGCCATCTGGGTTTGCATAAAACAGTAGCAGTGGCTGAAAGTGACATCGAATGCACTTGGAGACAACATCTTTCCACCTAGCTCCAACCTTTAAAAAAAGTCACAATGAATAAAAACAAAATAAAACCTTGTAATCAATGTGGTTCACGAAAAGGTAGAGAACCTGAATTAATTTATATTTTAAAACATTGTAAAGACATTCAGATGATAGTAGTTCAAGTGTCTGCATATCATATAATTAACTGTATTTAGTAACTAGTCCAAGTAAAAAAGCTTTTAAACATTATCATTTTTAGGAAATAGTGGGCAAAGATTATACTTTCTATATTATCAAGGCTTAATTATCAAATTTTTGAAAGCTTTCCACATGCATGATTGACTTGACAGGGATTTCAACATAATTCAATAGAGCTGTATAAAAGAGGCACTCAACAAACAGTACTAGAACGACCGTACAGCCAGAGAAAAAGAACTTTAACCTTGTTACCTATGAAATACAAAAATTAACTCAGAATGGATTACACAAAACTACAAAATTTACAGAAGAAAACAAAAGAGAAATTTTTACAACCTTGAGGAAAGCAATAATTTCTTAGATATCAAACAAACTATAGAAGAAAAATATTTATAAAATGGACTTCATCACAATTAATTAATAACTTCTGCTCTTAGAAAGACACCACTAAGAAATTTTTTAAAAAACAAGCAACATATATCTAATAAAGGACTGGTGTGCAGAATTAAAAAATTCCTACAAATCAGCAAGAAGATAATCCAATCTGAAATACTGGCAAAACACTTGAACAGACACTTCACCAAAAAAAAGATTTAAGAATGGTAAATAAGCACATGAAAATATGCTCAAAACATTACCAATCACAAAGGAAATGCAAATTAAAACCACAGTGAGATAATATTTACCCACTAGAAGAGCTAAAATTTAAAGGCTTATCAATATAAAGTATGTGAGAATGTGGAACATCAGGAACTATCATACACTGCTTGTGGGAATATAAATTGGTATGAGATCACTTTGGAAGTTAATTTGATAGCTTCTTTGTGAAGTTTAACATACAATTAGCAGAAACCCCACTTCTAGGTATTATCTAAGAGCAACTAGATATCGAAGGGCAAAAGTTTTGACGAAGTCAATTTATCAGTTATTTTATGGCTCATGCTTATTGATATTATCTAAGAAATCTCCATATATAAATAGTGGTTTTAATATCCTTCTCTGATAGTTCCATCTCTGTCATTTCTTGTCTGTTTTTATTAATTTTTCTTCTAGTTTTAAGTTAGTATTTTCCTTTTTTTGAATATTTAGTAATTTTTAATTGAATGCCATTTTGAAATGACACTGAAATTTCAATGAACTTTACATTGTTGGTATTGAATTTTGCTGTGTTCCTTCAAAAAGTGGGATTAGCTCTGTCCTTTCAAGGCATGCTTTTAAGCTTTCTTATGTCAGAACTGGAGCAACCTTCAGTCAAGGAATAATTTAACCCCACTATCAAGACAATACTCTTCTGAGGGTTCTCGTTGATGCCTACGTGCTACAACATGTCTCTACTCTTGATGGTGAGGATACAAACTATTACTAATTTTGTATGAGTTTGGGAATCATTCTACCTTGTTTTCTGGTGGTCCTTCTCATCCCTGCCCACTAACCCTGCACTTGTGCAGCTTTACCTCACACATGTACAGATCACTACTAAGCCAAGGATTTGAGGGGATCCCCTGACAATTTGTAGAATTGCCCCTCCATACAGTCTTCTTTCTGATATTCTGTCCCACAAATTTTAGCCATCTTGGCCTCCTTGAAATCCAATTTCAGTTTCCAGAACTCAGTGAGACTACTAGGTTTTGTTTGGGTCCCTTCTGCTTGCACTGCAGTAAGCAGGGGCTAATTACAGAGTTGATCTTGTTTCCCTTTTTTGCTGTTCAACTGAATGTTGTCCAATATCTAAAAAGAGTTCCTTCATCCTCGTTTGTAACAGTGAAAGGTGTATTTCTATGGCAGGTAATCCGTCATGGGTAAAACTAGAAGTTCAGTAAATACCAAATATTTAAACTTTTATTGTCTTAATTCATCACAGCACTGACAAATGGCCCTCTATTATATATTATACTGAATGTAAATTGATTTCTACATAATATGCTTTTAACAACAAAAATAACTTGTATTTTAAAACCATTTTACTGCTTATAATAATAAGATCCCCAAAGTCAATAAGCTGAGACCTGAGAACAGTATTGAAAAGACCAACAGTTTTCAACTATGCTCTCAAAATCTCCTGTGGAACTTTAGAAAAATTCAGATACCTTTTCACCCTTCACATTTTTAATCAAGAATTCAGGAGTCTAGGGATATTTTTTTTAAAAGCTTCTCAGATGATTTTGATTCTCTTTACTGACTAAGAACATTATTCACTAGTTCTGGACAATATTACACTATTTGAGTAAATAAATTGCAGTATGGGTTTGAACTGCATGGTTCCACTAACATGTAGATTTTCTTTTGTCTCTTCCATCCCTGAGACAGCAACACCAAACCTTTCCTTTTCCTTCTGTTTCTCAGCCTAACTCTATGTGATGACAAGTAGGATGAAACCCTTTATGATGATCCACTTCAATTTAATGAATGGTAAATATACTTTCTCTTCTTTATGATTTTCTTAATAACATTTTCTTTTCTTTAGTTTACTTCATTGTAGGAATACAGTATATAATACATATAATATACAAAATATGTATTAACTGACTTTATGTTTATGTAAGGTGTCTGGTCAACAGTAGGTTAATAGTGGTTAAATTTTTGAGAAGTCAAAAATTTTATGTGGCTTTTCGATTGCACAGGGAGTTGAGTCCCTAACTACCACATTGTTCAAGGATCAACTGTAATTACCAAAACATATAACAGATATATCTAACTCCATTTACTACATAAAAAATTTAAAAATATTGTCATAATAAAAAAAGCAAATATGTTTTCATCACTAGTCATACAAAACTATTGTGAATCATCTACAAAGAAATACATATAGCAACTTTGTCAGACAAAAGAGATCATTACTAACACAGATCATTGACAGTTATGTTTGTATACTAACATTCATTGGTCAATTTTTTATTATTCTGAAAATAGACTGGTTTAAAAGTTGGCTTCAAAATAAGCCAAATTTCAAGAATAAGGAAAGGAAGTTTGTACTTGAATCTATTACCATTATGTTCATTTATCATTTTATGTAACTGTATCATTTGGAATATCATTATTACATCACTTATCTCTAAAAAAGTAAAAATCACAGTAATTATTGCAGCTAGTGAAAGTGCTGCTTACCTCTTTCACATTTGCATCATCAAAAAATACCCATTTAGAACTCTTGGTATGAAAAGCAAAGGCACAATAATGTCGGCTGGTGTAACAAATCACACCAACAAGGTGAAGTTCACTATTTTTGGCATTTTCATCAGTAACCCTATAAAAAAGCTGTTTAAAAAATTAATAAACATTTAATATTATATATTTTTTAAAATGAGGAACAGTAATTTGATTAATCATATATTTGCTCACTATGAAAAAATTTCTTATGTATACTTACCCAACTCAATACTATTACTGAATTACTGAATGCACTACTAACATTGTACTATTAACAGAATTACTTTTAATTCATTCATAAAAACTTTAAGCCCAATTCACTACAAATTAGTTCAACAATAAAGCATCTTTAATAATATGAGACTGTCAAATTATGTAAATAAATTCAAAATGTGAGATAAATGACACATTCTTGGTAATTCCTGATTGACTCACATATTTGAATATAAACATATTATCTAAAAGATAATTAACTAAAGTTTTAATTATAACATAAACCAATTCAAAATATATTAAGAAAACAACAAATATACCAAGAGATCAGTGCTGTGAATTTCAAATCTTAAACCTTTCTAGATAAATTATATTTAAATGTATAACAATGATTATATATGTATATAAAATCATCTATCATCATCATCATTTGGAATGAAAGAGGGAAAGGACATGTGATATTGGCCCAATTTGATTAAATTTCTCTTTATCAGAGTACATCTGAATATTATTTACTTCAGAAAGAAAATTTAGTTCTGAAAAACAAATAAGTGTATCATAACATATTAAGATGTTTTAGAGGAATTTAAAAATAAAAAGAAAGAGAATGAAAACAATTAAGATACCCCAGGAAGATGAAGGTGTGTTGCTAGATTCCGAACAACATCTTCGGTCAAGTCAGAATGCTCAGAGTCCCAGACTAGGCCAATTGTAACAATCTCTGGGCAATTCATTAAAACACGGCGAATTTTTATTTTTTGGCCACAGTTACTCTACAGAAAAACACAAAAGGCAAGTTTTAAAATTGTTAAAACAGATTATATCACAGGCAAAGCCTTAAACAGTTTGTATGTATGACAATCAACATATAGGTGATACTTTTCTGTTCAGTATACTAAATTGACTTCTAACAAGTTATTTGTCTTAATTATTGATTAAACATGAAGTTTACTTTATTAATTAAATTTTTAAGTCACGTTCTCACTCTGTCACCCAGACTGAAGTGCAGTGGCATGATCACAGCTCACCTTAGCCTCCAACTTTTGGGCTCAAGTGATCCTCCTGTGTCAGTCTCCCAAATGGATGGGACTACAGGTGCACACCACCACATCCAGCTAATTTTTTATATTTTTTGTAGAGACAAGGTCTGGCTATGTTGTCCATGCTAGTCTCAAACTCCTGGGTTCAAGCAATCCTCCTGCCTCTGCTTTCCTAAGTGCTAGGATTACAGGAGTGAGCACCTAGCCAGGAGGTTTATTTTAAATCAAAGTATTCTTTGGTATTTTTGTAAATCTGTTAAAACAAGATTTTTTTTAAAAAGCAGAAATAAAATCTCTGAAGCAATTAACAATATTAGATATCATTTATCATGCTTATTTAAATAAAAAAGAAAACTCTTTAGTTAACTAATAAATTTCAAAACTTCGAGAAAATTTGGTCAACATATGCTACCTTAACTCCTTCAGAAAGCTAATAGTTTTTAAAGAAACAGTGAGGATAAACAATTCATGTCGTATAAAGTTATCTAAAATAATAACTAAAAAATAAATTCTGGAAGATAATTCTGTGTATACATGATAATTTCTGAATGCCTATTTTCAAGTTGACATACATAGAAGCATACGAATGTTCTCCAAATTACACTTACAGGACATTTCCTATAGTCATCTGTTGTATTTGCTGCTTGCAGCAATTCTGCAAACATTTCAGGTTTCAAGCGTTCATGTCTTTCCATCATTCTTTCAACTTCATTGCTACAAACAAAAAAGAAACAATCCCAAATCAGGTCTTTGAACTTAAAAGTTCAATAAATTACACACAAAAAAGATTAAGTTGTCAATATAGATGTCCATCACTTTTTCTGTCTAAAACATGGCTGTGACTGAAAATTTAACAATAGCATTTCCATAAAGTGAAAAAGTATTAGTTTTCGCAGGTGCATGACAAAAAACATCAGGCCAAGTACAGAATAAAATAATACAAAATTATATTTTAGTGTGGAACTACATGAGGGTAAGATACTTCATCTGGAGATAGTTATAAGGCAAATGTTTCTTTTATACTATTATTTATTAAGTAGAAACTTGAGTTTGAATTCTGCCCTAACAAGAACAACAAATTGTAGGACAGGCTTCCTCTCTGGCCCAAAGTTCCCAGAAGCAAAGTTATCAATTGCAGCTAGGAGAAGGCCCTTTGCTCATTAAACCCAAAAGTCACAACCAAACTTATTAAGCCAGGCATGTGCTTTTTGTTTCTCTTATGAATGCTGATCCAGGCAGGCCTTTTTATACACTACAGGGTAACTGTGCCATTTTTTATTTAACTCCTAAGAGTCATATTTTTACATATTAAGGTATTAAGTACCATACTTTTAATAACTCTTCAAACATTTCCAAAAAGTAAGGTAATGTAGACTGAAACACTCCTACTAGTTTCCATTCCAGATGTTGTGGATCTACTTAATAGTAATATAACTGTCCTAGAGTTGCATATATTTTACAGTTCAATAGTTTAAACAGTCTACAAGTATTTAGTAATAATTACAAGTATCCTTCGAAAACACTTCACAAGAATACTAGAAAAGCACTAAATCTGATAAGCTCATTAGAGTAGTGGTTAACCACACAAATTTTGAAGTTAGATAGATCAGGGTTTCAATCTTAATTCATCCATTTACCAGATTAACCTCAATAGATGCATTTTTTAAATTAACAAAATAATGTTTTTGTTAAGACTAATAGCAACAATTTACATAAAGCCTGGAACATAGTAAACATTCAATAATTGGTATTCAATACTTGTTACCAATAAGGTTGTTGCAATTAGAATTCAAGGTCTGCACTCTTGTAACTTGTATATGGACTAGGCAGCAATTGATAGGGATCTAATTCTCATTTAAGATACTGCCTCAGAACACTTATTTTTTACAAGAATTTCAAAGCAGAGTTAAAATTTTAGTTTTTAAATCTCCATCTCTACTTAGTCAAATACAATCCTACCACTTTTCACACAAATTGAAAAAAAAAATGGGTGACAAGTTTAGGAATGTTTCTCTAAACCAATGTAAATGTAAGAAAGCTACTAAATACACCCAAATAGTCAAATGGTTATTATTCAATAATCTTTGTGACTATGCTTAAGAAGGCCAAAAAGTGCTGGGCTCGTTGGTTCAGCCTGTAATCCCACGCCTTGGGAGGCTGAGGTTGAGTGGATTGCCTGAGCCCGCAGGTTCGAGACCCACCTGGGCAACTTGGCGAGACCTCATCTCTACAATAAATCAAAAAACTAGCCCGGTGTGGTAGTGTGTGCCTGTAATTGCAGCTACTTGGAAGGCTGAGGCTTCCGACTCAAAAAAAAAGAAGACCAAAAAGTTAAAATATGAATATAAAATGAACACGATATTCACTTTGCATACTGACAATAATATTGGCATTTGCCACTAACTGTTGTACTCTCATTGATAATTATTTATCCATATTATGTCTTTTGTATTTTTTTTTGACTTGGAGTCTCACTCTGTCGCCCAGACTGGAGCGCAGTGGCCGCTTCTGGCCACCGCAGCCTCAACCTGCTGGGCTCCGGCAATCCTTCCGCCTCAGCCTTCCAAGT